TCTCAACTTCTAATATTCACATCCTGTTCCATATTTTCAATCTACCCTTTGAAACTATTTGCAAAAATAGAGCTAAAAATATTCAAAAATAACAAAATTTTTAAAATACCGGATCCGGCTAGTTCGGGCCTAAAAATGAACAATTTTATTTTTTCCCTAATCTCGGATAATGTGAAATTTTGACTTCTACGGAGAACTATGATGAAAAACCATTAAATAAGTATGTAATATGTCATGGGTTGTTTATAAAATATGTATTTTTAGTAATTAAAACTGCGTTTATTTTAAAACCCGATTATGTCAAATTCGCATTGCATGTATAATAATGCTCCTATGTTGAGAGTTTACGTTTTGCCCTCTTATTTAAATTAAAAAACGTAAAAACTGGATAAGTCCCAAAGACGCTATATCATCGTCAGCCTTTTTATATAATTAATTTTCTAAATATTCTATTTTAAAAGACAAGTTTTTTTTTTTTTACATTTTAGGTTATGTCTAAAACCACAGAAAAAAAAATATTCACAAACTTTCGAAGCTTTAATGAAAATAAATAAATAAGCTATTTTAAATATAAAAATAAAAATATGTCCAAAAATTTTAAAAATCTACGATTTCATTAAAATTTTAGGTTAATGATGCTTACTACCTTAAGGTACTACCTATCAAATTTGAATTTTGTTTATTTTTCATTTGGATAGGCACTACCAAATATATTTATAATATATATTTGAAAAATCGTCATCTTTGGAAAGCCTCTATGGCCTTGTCGGCAAGAGCTTCGCTTACTGATCCCATGGTCACGAGTTCGAATCCTGGTAATAATTATGTTTTTTTCTTATTCTAACTTGGTGGTTCCAATATTGGGGGGGGGGATGAAATATAGGAGGCAGGACTCGACCACATGATTCCATTTTAATATATTAAACAATAAGCCTTATTACATTTTAATAAATTTTGGTCGGTATTTAGCAAATTAGATTGGTATTTAGAAAATTTCCATACATTCACTTGGTAGTAAGCATCATTAACCAAAATTTTAAGCCATCTCTTGAAAAAAAACGTTAATGGGCGCCCTTGTGCGAAACCAACAACTACAATCATTTTATTTTTGGATAATTAACAAAATAGAATTATTTTAATGGCTATTTTATACTTTTAATACCCCAACTAGAAGTCTGTATTGGACAGCCGCCTATCTATGTGGCGGGCGGGTTTAATTTTTTAAAGGGCGGCCGAGGGGTCGGTGGGTTAAGAAAATATTTAAACCATAGGTGGGCAGGCGGGTTAAAAAATTTAGAACTTTTATTTCTTATTTAAAATCTTTAAGTAAACATTTTAAAAAATATGCTCCCAGAAATTTCAACATTTTAAATGCTAAATTACCGATAACTGAGGATGTTGTCGATGGAAGAAATTATTAGGTAAAAAATATCTCTAAAACATGATAGATATGATTTGCATGGAAGAATATAACATCAACGTGGATGAAAATATGATTTTACCCGTTTCCCCAATAGCAAAGAGAATTCAAAGATTATTAAATTATAAATGCAATGTTTGAAATAGATAGCATCCATGTCAAAATTAAACAACAACAGATGGGAAGATGTGGCTGTTACAGAGGAGAGCATTACCTAATGACATAACAAAATATTTAAATATTAAAGTAACGAGTTTTTGTATAATTTAGCCATATTTTAGGGTACTTAGTTTAGTTAAAGTTTCCAATTTATAAACAATTAAATAACCTTTATTTATTTATTAATAATGGTTTCATTATTTATTTAAATATCTCACTTATGTAGAGGATATATTTTAACCGGATATCCTACTTTGATGGAAATTACATGAAAAAGATTTATAAAAGCTAACGAGATTTAGCCGGAAAAATATTGGCAATACCAGCAACTAGTAGGGTAGTTAAATGGCTCGATTTAGACCTATTTTTAAAAACGGCTAAAATATTTTATCCACAAAAATATTACGCAAGCCTGAAAATTTCGCCCATAGATAGTACAAAGGTTTAGACATCTATTAACGAAACCTCGATGCTTGGATCGGCTCAAAACGAGCCGTTTAACAACACTAGCAACTAGTGTTTCTTCTGAACGAGGAATAGTATTGCTGTAAGGTTTATAGTATCAATAAATATAAATTTTTAGTGTTGTAAGAAAGAAGTTCGTTTTTTTGGAAAAAATGATGAACGGCGTTCCTTTTATTTTTGACGAACTTTGAACGTGAACGCGTTCCTTTTTTATGACGAACGCGTTCGAATTTAACGTTCGTTCAATTTTAAAAATATTTTTTTTTATTTATTTGAAAAATTTAATATTTCCGAATTTTTTTAAAAAATGTATTATTTATTTTTTAATCGACTGTGTATTTCCTTTTCGCATTTCAATTTTTTTAACACATAGTTTATTAATTTGAATATTATTGTTTATATTTTATTTTAATAGATTAGCATAAGAATGAATATTATTATTTAATCCTCATAATCTGATTCTGAAAATCCAAAATCAGATGAATTATCATTACTATGTCCAAATGTGATAAATATTTTACAGTAACATCCTATATTGAAGGAACTAATTCAATGCTTACCAAGTGTAAAATGTAGCCAAAAAGTATTATATTGTCAAAATCTTCAGGTTCCAATTTAAAACGACATTTGATTTTAATATTAATTATTTGATTTTATATGATATAACTAAGTTAAATCATTAAATTTGAAGAAATAATGCATTTAGGATATTTTGACCCCAACAATAGCGATAGTTATTTTAAAATTAAAAAAATTAGTGGCCTCAAATATGGTCAACCATTTATAGACGCCGTGTTAAATGGGATTAATAAAAGGTATTAAACCATCACTCTCAATTAATTACATTTATTTTATTTTTTTTAAAGTATTGAACATATATATAAGGATCAATATGTTCTTTCTGCAATTATACATCCAAACTTCAATGGCCATAGATAAAACTTCCACAGAACGAACCTATTAAATAAACTTATAGCGTTATTGAAAAAAATGCTTTGAAAACCCTAGAGAACTGTTAATTTCGAGATTCCTTTTTTTTTGTCGAGAGTAGAGAATGGATTGGAGGAGGATAACTTATCTCTATTTCTTGCAAATAACAAAACAATATGTTTTTAATTAATTCTCCACGTTAAAAGAGTTGTTTATTAAGTATAAAACCGCAATCCCCTCATCTGCCCCTGTAGAACGCGTTTTTAGGCTAATGCCGTATTAACTGCCAAGTGTTCTTGTCTATCAGATAGATATTTTGAAAACAATTGTTATTAAAATTTAATAAGAAAAATTTTTTATAAATAAAAATATCTTTTTATTCGCTATATTATATTATATTTTATTTATAATTATATTATCAATCAAAATAATTATTTTTTAACATGGCTAAAATATATTGTATTAAAAAATGTAAGTTTATTTATATTAAATTAAATTTAAAAAAAATTTATCATAAAATTTTGAACGAATTTATAAACCTGAACGCGTTCCTTTTTTTTTGAACATGAACTTGAACGTGAACGCGTTCGATTTTTGTCAATGAACGTTGAACGCGAACGCGTTCGATTTTTTTAGAAATGTTTACAGCACTATTAATTTTATAATATTACATAAATATTTTATTAGATCAAATAAATTCCTTATCCGTCATTTAAATTAAATATTTATTCAATGCTTAATATAGCAATTTCCTAAATTATAAAACTTTCTTGTAGGGATGAAGTATTGAAACTAAATCATTTTTTTTATTAGATGTTTAAAAAAATTGTTATAATGAGCTTATTTAAATTTTATATGGGCTTAGTGGGTTAAATTCTTTTATAAATAAAGGTCGGGTAAAAAATTTTAGACTAAAGGGCGGGCTAGTATATTTATTTAAAAACTATGGGCGGGTTGGACGGGAGGGTTAATTTTTTTAAATATTGGAACGAGCAAGCTTGTGGGCTAAAAACCCGCCAATTGCAGACCACCCCAACCCCTTAAATCTTGCACGGACCCTTACAAATAATTCTAATTTTTTTTAATTAAAAAAAAAGAGAATATTATATTCTCCAAAAATAATTTCGCGATTAAAACAAACGAAAACAATCTTAGAAACAAGAAAACTCGTAAAAATAAGAAAAAACAGAGTTATAAAAAGTTTTTTGAAAGTACTTCATACAATAAAATTCTTTTGTATAAAGAGGGGCATTTAATGGGTTTTTGGTTTTTCTTACCCGCCATTTATTAAATATATTTATACTTTATCTTAAATTTCCTTGAGAAAAATACGAAATAAAACGTTTTTTTTGCATTTTGCACAACCCCATTTGCTGAATTTTGTTTATAAAAATTTAAAAACCCATCAAATATTTATATTTTTAAGTGTTCACTTCATTTATTTTTTTTTATCAAATAATCTAAAAGATTGTTCCCATTCCTATGTTTATAAAATTTGATATTCTATTTTATTGATATTTTATATATATTTTTTTTAAACGGCTAATTATCTCAAAATATTTAATATCTTATCTTATGTTCATAAATTATAAGTTTGAAGACCTAATTTAGTATAAATTTAAAATTATCAATATAAATAAATTGCATATGTTAAATTTATAATTTATCAATTTCAAATATGCCATATTTTTATTCTTTTTCTCTTCTTTTTCTTTCTACTTTCTTTTGTATACCGTTTTAAAAACACAAATAAAACGGTTAGAAACTTACTAATAAGTAATAACTATTACTTTTATTTTTAATTAAATTATTTATTTTTAAATATTTTATATGGGGTTTTTATATTTATTAAAATTTATTTTATAAATTATGTGAAGATGAAAACGAAGAGATTGTATAGAAAATTTAACATTCCATTTTATTATCCTTATTTTAACCATAATTTTTTTAAAAAATATTATTTATTATATTTTAATTCTGGATATCATTTTACATAATTTTATTTTATTAATATTTTTAATTTTAATTTATTCGAAAAAAATAAATAAATATATTTATATTTAATATTAAATTGAAATTGAAATTAGTTTTTTATGTTATTGACAAATTGTTCCAAAATTTAAATAATGTGTTAAGGAGGAAAAGATGCATTATGCCGAAATAATTCTATTTTATTCATTATCGGCTTTATACCATATCATAACGGTGGTCGGGATAGCAGGTGAATAATTTTTTAAATCGATTAGATTATAATTAAAATAGGGAATTTATTAAATTTAAACCTTTTTTTATTTCTTATTAACTAGACAATTAATTCTATTAGTAATTTATATTTTATAAAAAAAATTATGAATTAATATTAATATTTCAATAATGCAACTGTATTGTAACTCTCCTTTCCCTCGTGGTATTAAAAGGACTCTATTTTAATTACTAGTCATTTCGCTGCTACTCACTAAAGAAGTGGGGGGGGGGGCATTATCAACATTAAATATTAATTTTAATTCACACCCAAAATATTTTTTATACTATGAACTGTTCTGTTTTTTATTTTATTTTTTTAAATGCTTTCGTGTTGGATTTATAAAAAATCATGGTGACAGTGACATAATTAGCATTGGCTAAGGACCAACATTTTTGTTTGATTTCCATAAATTTCAATAACCTGAAATTTTAAAAGCAATCAAGTTCCTTTGAAAAAATTAAAAATGGTTTTAATGACCAAGCCCGCCAGGTTCAGTTCTTGTTACTTGCAAGTTTTCTTTTGTATTCGAAACGTTCTTCGAAAACCCAAAATGTTTTTATGAGAACCCGGAAAATTCTGGAACCTTCTGGAGAGCATATTTCAGGCCCGTGATTAATTTTCAGGGATTCTTGGAATTCCGAATGAATTTATCTTTCAAATTATTTTAATCATTTTTCCAAAAAAATATGAATATTTTTATTTTGAGTATTTAAGTATTATAAACAATTTTTTCATGAGGAGTGCTGATAATTTTTCTAAGTTTTTTGATTTCATATTTTTATTAAGCCATCTAATTAATTAACGAGGAGAAAGGTAAATTATTAAATATGGGAAAAGGCTTAATTAGGTGAAATGAAATTGAAACAAATTTTTTAAAAAGGATATTTGCCTGATTTTAAAGGTCCGGGATTAAAATTAATTAGGTGAGAACAATTTTCACAAAGTTATGTCCCTCCAGGTAAAATAACCCGCCCAGCTTTTAAGTGTTTGTTTTGCCAAAAATTAATATTAAAAAAATATATATATTTAAAGTACAGTTTAACACATTTCCCAGCGTAACATTTTGATAAATAAGTTAGTTTTCTTGATTATTTATAAGTAAAATATATATTTTTTTTTACCTTATTTTATATTTATAGGTTGGTAGGAAGTCATTTAAAAACTGTAAGAAGACGAAACAGCTTATTGTTACTCTCCCATATGTATTGTAATTGTTATCCACTAAAAGAGTTTGTTAAGCGGCTCGATTAGGACCTATTTTTAAAAACGTCTAAGTCAATATTTTAGCAAAAAAAAATGTGCCTAAGTTTCGAGATTTTGCTACTAGTTGTCCAAACCTTTTTACTATCTAAGAGTAAAATCTTCAGGCTTGCCTATGGATAAAATAAAATGTTGAGAATCTGCTCAAATCGAGCCGTTTAACAACACTACCCATAAATATAGTAGTATTAATTAGTATATTCTCTATAGAAAATTTATTTTGTATCGTCCTAAAACTACAGAAGGAAGGAAAGGAAAACAATTCAAATAAAACAATTTTTGTATAAAGTTTTATTTACGAAAAAAATTTTTTTTTTGTCAAGCTTTAACAAAGATTAAAAAAAAGAGATAATGATAAAAATAAGAGTTTTTTATTTTATTTAAACAAACTTTTATAATTAATAAAATATGAAATTAAAACACTATAAATAAAAAGATTAATAAAATCTACCCTATATACATAAATATCATAAAGCTTATATTTTGAATTACGAAAAAAATGATCATGTACTATATTGAAAATTAATTGCAACACGAATATTTATAAGAAATAATTTAAATCAATACAAAATACAAGAATGTAAAGTATCGGGATAAATATATAAGTGAGATCTCTCCCAAGTGACATTCTCCAATGATAGATTGCTTAAATTATTTTTAAAATATAATTTTTTAAAAAAAAATTAATTAGAGCCTGATTTCTAAGAAATTGGCTCTCCAAATTTTATAAGATAATTGATTTTATAAAAGGGTTTTTTGCTTTATATAAATTAAATTAAAATATGGATGAATTGTTTAACATTTCCAAAAAAATGCTCTTTTATAAGTTTACCAACTCATATCATCTATCTTTCACGTTTACCACATTTGAATATCATTTAAACTGCCCATCTTAAAAAGTTAGCTTTGGCTGACCCTTTTTTAAAATAGTTATTCCCACACATTGTTTTAAAAAAATTTTTTAACACGCCAGACCCTGGCTTAAGAAAAAAAAATATGTATCCATCCGCCGATTAAAAATTTGTTACCACCTTTCATCCAATGTTTAAAAATAATTTGATTGGCTCTTTATTATTAATATTATTATTTTTTTAATTAAACATAAAATATGCAAAAATAATATTTATTAATAAACCCATATGCCGGCTCGTTGTTTTAAAAAATATTTTTCACCCGCATCGCTTAAAAATAAAATTTTATTTGAACCCGCCTTGTTGAAGTCCATGATTAGAATGGCAAACTTTTTATAAACCTTCCTTCCAATTTTTCTTTTGTCGCTAAGAGCAGGGAATATGTCTATTTACCCCCTTACCCTCCTACAATTACATGACGATTTTGCTCAATAATGTCCCTACAATGGTCAGGGTCACAAGAACTTAATTATTGAATGCAGAGATCATCAAAAATGATTCATATATAATCTTATTATCCTTTTTTTAAAAAAATTATTTGAATATATGGACTTTTTCTTAACAATTTCTTTAAAAAATTAGGTAAGAAATTTTTTTGGGGAAAAAAATGTTTTTTACTTTTTTTATCCTTCTTTATTTTCTTTTATTCATTTACTAAATTTTCTAAATTCAATATCCTAAAAATGTATGCCCCCCCCCCCAACCCCCTCATTTTCTATTGTAGATTTTGTATTTCATATTTAAAATATTAAAAATATCAAAAAATAATAATAAGTTAATTAACCTATAACATCAATGTTTTGTATTTTACGTTAATTTAAATTTTTAATTTATGAATAAATATACAAATACTATTTATTTATACACTAAAACTATGTGTATGTATTTACAGTAATGTAATAATAATTGCTTGCTAAACATAATTATAAAGAACAGGAAACAGCTGGAATTTATTTTATTAGAGTGGAAAGTGGATTAAATAAATTATGTATATAGATATATTAAGATCAACTTTACATTTTCGATTAATGTGGTTTACATTCTTTAATAAACACTAAATGTGTCCCCTTACAAGCTACTCGATTCCCTCTTCGAAGGTGTCTTTCAATAACTTTTAGAGGTCCAGTCCATTTAATATCGGGTTTATATTTATTTTTACCCGACTCGTATTAATTCTTTATCAAGAAAGAAAGACGACATGAATTTGCCTAATTATCATCTCCAAAAACATTTTCGAAAATTCGACCTAGCCCATAAAAATATCTGTTTTTAAGCGAATGTTTGAAAAAACCATAGGGTTTATTATATAAATAATAATCAAAATGAATTTTATCGAGTATAATATACAATATACTTGCTTACTTAAGCAAATTGATGTAAAAATATTTCTCACCTTTTCTCTTGAATTTTTTTTTACCAAATTTATTAACATGTTAGTGAAATTTTCTAACTCTAAATCAATATTTCAAATAAAACCCTTATTATTTTGGGATAAATTATTGGTTGAAATTATTTTATAAAGGATAGTAATATATTTTCACAAAAACTGTTTTTAAATTTCTAATTAAATATTAATATTATTAATTTATATGTAAAGAATTAAATTTGATATTTTTTTAATATGATTTTTTTTATATTATTTATTTAATTAATAAAATATTTTTAAATAACAATTAAAAATGAATTTACTTTTATTACGAATAATACCAATAAACATATTTATTCATTTTGATTCGTATCTTGTTATATACAATAAGTATAAAGAGTCATTGGCGTATGCAGCGGGAGGGGGTGGGGGGGGGGGGCGGGGCAGGGGGACAAATCCTCCCCCCCCCCAGCCAAAACATGCAGATGCCGGTTATATTTTTCAAAAATATTATTGTTTATATTAATTTATATTTGTTAATATTTATTCGTATCTCATATTAAATATATATTTAATTACATTTAATCACATTTATCTACTAAGTTATTTTATAAGTTAATTTCGATTTCAAGTTTTCCGGCGTAATATTTACTTATTATTTTCAAATTTTTAGTGGCGTAATATTTGTCTAGCATTTTCAAATTTCTAGCCAAATAATAATTATTTCTGAAACTTCTTGTCCAACAGGGAAAAAGAAATTGCAACCTTGTCCAACGAGATAGAGTCTCTGCCATCAAGCAGTAACCGCTTTTAAGGAGTTAGAAGAGCCAATTATTTGCTATTACTGAAATATCACAATGGCCTGAAAGAAATATTTCCTCAGAAGCAAGAAAATTATTGGATTCAATGCTTATTCCAAATTTTATTTCTCATTAGAATGTATTATTTAATTATACAACTATTTTAAGTATTACTTTTCAAAAACATGACATTGACTTGATTAAGAAGATGAGAATAGCGGAGAGCATTTTATCAGAATTCAAGGAAATTAAGGCTAATGTTGATGAAGAATTTGATATTTTATATTTTATTGTTGAATCAAAAGCAGAGCTATAAGTGTTTAATATTTGTCTCCCTCGACTTGTAGCAAGGCAAGCTCATGTTAAAACATTAATATAGGATCAGTAGAAGAGTATATATCTTAAATATAGATACATTTATAACCAATAAATGAATTTTTAATTCATGATGCAGCACTTACTAATCTGCAAATATTACTTCCACAAAAGTCTTCCCAACCTTTTTCAGATGGTGGAAAAAAAAATATTTGTTAGATTTTTATTATGAAGATGTTAAAGTATCTTATGATGCCTTACTAGCTGAATAACTATGTTTATAAGATTAACTATAGTTGATATAGTCCCAAAAAATGCTATGAA